ATGACGTTAGAATCGTTATTCGCTGTTCGTTAAATCAAACGAAATTATGCTCGGGACAGACATTTTTAAATTATTGTTATTATTTTTTTTTGAAATTTATGAACGTAATTTTTTAATGATTTACGGTTTGATTATCCAAAAGCTATTATAATATGCAGATATAGGTACCGATATTTTTACCCGACGAATATTATTGGTGGCGGTGATTGCATGCGCGTACATATTATTATATTGACTTATTATAGTAGGGAACGGATTTATGTGCGTTTAAAAAAGCAATAATGTAGATGAGAATATAATGGGTTTAAAAGTCTCCCCTTCTAATGGCTCTAATTTAATATTCATACATTCAAATAAATCTGTACGTGTTATAAAAATACTTTGTGTTAATCGTTTGTCAGTGTCACTAACAAACACTGTGTTAGACAATTTTATTTAATACAGGCTAGAAATGTTAGATAAGGGAATTTAAAACGCCTCTACCAATTTTAATTTTTTTTTTAAATTCTTTTTTAACGATTTAAAGCGCATCTTGTGGATTTTAAGTGCACAAATATCCATTTCCTACTTTTTCAGGTATTTTATAACATACGGGCGCCTAAACATTACATGAATATTAATATAGATGTGGTCAGTAGCACGCACGGGATTTTTTTTCTCGGGAGAATCGTGCTTATAATTATTACCTAGAAAAGAGAATTTTGTGCATACTATGTACGCAGACATTTGGCGGAGAAGACATTTAGGGGGAGAGTCTGATCTCATAACCACGCCCTTCATCCCTTTTGTGTGCTCCATTAACGCCGTTATTCATTCTAACAACGTACCGACTTACGATTTATTTGGTAGCGATACGGGAAAACAGATTGAAATTTGCCGTCAAGTCTAGTCGAGATCATTTTAAAATGTTGCCATCATTTTCAGGACAATCATAAAAATTTTAACTTAAAACGCCAATGAAAAACAAAAGATTACTTAACTTTTTTTTTACCGCTAATTAAAACTTAAGGTAAACATTGTTTTGAAATTATCAACGGTTTTTTTTACCAATAAAAATTAAAAAACTCGAAATGTTCCAATAACTCTGAATAGATTAAACATCGACAGAATATTTTGAACATTTTCCGGATCTAGAATGTACTAATATTAGTATTCTCTGAAAATATCAGGTCCCTGCGATAATTTTTAACCAAATTAGAACAAAAATGCAAAATCGAAAATAACAGAAAACGTTATGACTGCATTTCCCTTATTATTACAAGGAAAACCAAAAACAATTAATGACCTTTTCAATGACCTACTGAACACAATTTACTATTATAATAATTTTAATTATTAAATTCTATCTTAACCTCAGAATCTAAAACCGACCTATTGGTAATTTTTGGTCAGTTCTCAAAATGTCTTCGAAAACTACGTGGAGTGTAAAAAATAATGTTTCAAATAGAGAACCAACGACCGGAAATTCCAGGTACTATCACGAATGTTCGTTTTTATTTTTACTTCTATAAAAATCCGTATATTCCTCTATTCCAACCTTAAACGTTTAAATATAAAATGTATTTTTTTCTTCTTATAATCGTATATAGTTTAATACGATTTGATCTACACAAAACGTTCTACGTTTATCTAAATATCTTTGGTTAATTCATACACAAACATTGCATTGTTTTAGTTATTTTATTATAATACAATTAATCAATTAAGTATACAGGTGTCCCCTTAGGGCTCTAATAATCATGATATTACAAATTATTTTTACTCGCAGTATGATGTCTATTGAGTCTATTGTAACGTTTAAATAATATTTCAATTAAACGTAATTATCTATAAAAATTAGACGAAAATTACAATTTATATTATGTACATTATCTTTTTATTTATCTACGACCTACCTGTACATCCGTTATTATTAAATTATTTAACAAGACGGGAAAATTAAAAAAAAAAAAAAAAAAATCATTGATTCAAAACTATGTAAAATTAACTCAAGATTAAACTCAATAACGCCCAGCCTTGAGAAAAAATAAATACTAGGCAATAATGAGNTTATTTATCTACGACCTACCTGTACATCCGTTATTATTAAATTATTTAACAAGACGGGAAAATTAAAAAAAAAAAAAAAAAAAAATGAACTGTTTTTATCAATTAACTAAGTTTGTTTGTAACATTTGATATTGTCATAGACAAAATAATCTTAGAGCATGTGATTTTTATAAAAATAAGAATGATGAAATATGCTAAAAACGCGGGTTGAATTCATTCGTGGAATATTAAAAATATAATTATTCTAAAACTTAGAAATCTGAAGTGTTTTAAACAAAGTTCCACCGATCGGAAATTTTGAATTTTGATTGGACGAAAAAAAATTGAATATTTTTACCTAAAAAATTAACCCATTAGTATTCTCAAAGAAGGATAACACACATATACACACACGCGTCTATTAATCGTGTTAAAAATAATTTAATTCAATAAAAAAAAAAAAAAAATCATTGATTCAAAACTATGTAAAATTAACTCAAGATTAAACTCAATAACGCCCAGCCTTGAGAAAAAATAAATACTAGGCAATAATGAGCATAATATACCTAGTTGATATACATTTTACGAGAAATCTCGGCATATAACTGAAAAACATGTGTAGTGTATACTTATTAACCATAATAAAAACTTTCTGTTACGGACCGCAGTTTCCATCATGTTCCATTACAATTATTACTAAATTGTTGTGATAAAAACCTCGTTTACCAGTAACCGAAACGGATATCTTACATGTTGTTATTTTTTTTTTTATAGTAAAACATTTATACTTTAATTAATGGTAATTTCATTAATTAAAATTAATTATAAATCAAAAGTAAAAGATAATTCTTAAAATAAGTCGATTGTTGCCTGTTTTTAATAAATTGTCACACCATTATTTGTCGAATAAAATTTGATATGTTACATAACAACTAACAAGTATCGTGAATAAGTATAATTATTATAATTAATAAAGTAATACAAGTAGTTTAACTTTATTTATTACAGATCACTGGTTATTATGACACACGACTTTTTCGAGTCAATGAGTACAGTTTTAACAATGACAAGAATTCTTAAATAAATGAATAAATATTGTAAGTACCTGTAAACACATATAAATTTGAATACAATTTTATATGCCTATATGTTTGTTTAATTTTAAAAAAACTGTCTTGTTTTTATTACCTATGATAAAATAATTTCTTCGCCTTACTTTAGGATGTTTTTTTACAGATCCGAAAAATATCTATTTTTAATTTAATTATAATCGAAATGTATACATGTTAATACATTTATTTATCAGTTTTAAAACTTCAATTATGCGATAAATTGATAAGATTGACGTGACCGTTATCAATATAACAATATTGGAAATTGATCACAATATTTGATACTGTTGATTTGCTAGTTTTGTATACCTAATATATGTGCTGCTGTTATTTAAAAAAAAAAAATTGCGTTATGATCATTGTAAATATAATTATTATGGTTGAAAAAATATAAAAATTGAACTTTCACAAAATTTGATAGTATAATATAGTTCTGAAACACATTATTTTGGCACCTGTTGAGCGACTGTAAACTTTAGGATGGAGTTGATATTTAAAGGATATTTGGACTACCGTTTTAGGGTTGAGGTACGGGACGGATTTCGGATGCAGCCGTTTTAAATTCGCAAAATCATTAACATAGATATTATTATCGAATATAATATTTATACGTTTCCAACATTGAATTTATAAAGAATAAGAATGCAGGACTTTATAATTTGATTTAGATGCGTTTTATTGAGGGCAAGGCAAAACAAATGTTCTAACTTTTTAGTCGTATAATATGAAAGTTGAGAGTTTCAACCGGTAGTATTATGTAGGTACTAAAAATGACCCTTAAGTTAAAATTTATGTACAAACCCGTTGATGCATTTATACTTAATAGGTATTAAACAATTAACCTATTATTATGTGTATTTTTCCAATACATTTTGAAGTATTACTGTTCCCTTTTAGCTATAAATAAAAATGATCTCTTAAAAATTAACTAGATGCCTATTTTAATTGTCTTATACGTTTTGGTTTAGTTAACACTAACTGTACGGTCGTAGGACAGTTGCATGGACTTTAAAATATATTAATTTTTAACTATCGATTGATTATATTATGTACCTATCTATTCAATTTGCACTATCTTACACTACCGTTAAAGAACAAATTAATTTTAGGTATATTATGTTATTCAATGTTATTTTGCTTAGTGGGCGGGTATAATTATTAATATATATTATAATATTCATAAATTAGGTGTAATAGGTACAAAGAAAGCCTATTTGAATAAATATTAATGTGTGTAACAACCAAAATATAAATATAATAATTAATTATGAACGAATAATCACAGTTATTGATTAATATAATAAAATCAAATTACTTCAATTAAAAATGATTAACAATTAAATAATTAGGCATAGACACCGGAATATCGAAAATAGAATTGAGGAAATTTTATTTTTCAATTTCGAATACCTAATCGGGTTAATAAAATAAAATTAGGCAAATAATCAGTACCGGCCCGATAGATTTCGGGGCCCGGTGCAGAATTTTACGGGGCCCCTTTAAATATTTCTATAAATATATCTGTATTTATTTTATTTTCTAACGGACTTACTTTATTTTCATATAGTTTTATAAACTTTGATGTTTTGTTAGAAATCTAAATTTGTACCTAAATATAAACTAATAAAATCAAATTTGTATTTTTATATTAGACACAAAATGAGTAGGTAGCTTCTTAGATACAAACAATATGTTATACATTTAAATTTTTATTTTATTGAACACGATTACATAAATATGACATAATTAGTATATTTTACTTTAAATAAAAAAATAAACATAGATTAATTTAATACAACTGATAATATAATATAATATTCCTTGAACATTTTATTTTTTCATGCAAACAAATCAATTGTCTCATTGTAGCTCACATAAGACAAGAGAGTAGTCGTGGGGTATCGGACAGGGAATAATCGGACAAAAAGAAACGGCATGGAGAAACCTTCTTTGAACTCGCTCAACACTAGCTGCTGTGGTTTCTGGACCCCATAACACACTGCCGTACTCAACGATGGGTCTCACTAGGGCGCAGTACAAGATTTTGAGGTTCATGACTAGATTGACAAATTTAGAAGAGCGAAGGATGAAACCGAGAACCTTAAGGGCCTTACAACAGATTTCTTGTATGCGCTTATTTGGGGAAAGGTGTACTGCAAGGAACAGTATTAGGTCCGATTTCGTTTCCGATCGGGCAAACCCAAGTTTTATAGTACAACGCATATCTTTTTATAATTTTAACTTGCAACATTTAGATAGATTATTTTACACAAATGTGTTCTAATTATTAAATAAGCAAACGCATCTATTGACCACGGTGAACCGTACTTGGAAACACGAGATATAAAATTAATACAGTGATACTTCGAAATCGGAAAAACGGAAAAATCGGTACATTAAACAAATATTATTAAAGAAAATATACAATGCCTGTATAATTATTTTATCATAATATGACATATTATATATTGTTGACAAAGCATCATTATCAACTCCTTTCAGAATCGTTTTTTTCGTTAGCAATGGTTTATCGTAACAGTGGCTGCACCCGTTTCCATTATCCTAGGACAGCTTTTTTGTATATAACGGTTAACCGAAGTGACGATTAACCGAGTGACGGTTAAACGAAGTTCTATTGTATGCACATTATTTCATTTAATAATACAACTTTTGGATCTCAATGCACACTAATTGTAGGCTTAAATATATGTAACAACTTGAGTATTACTTAATACAATTTTAAAAGATTAAAGAGTTTTACATTTTTCTACGTATAAATAGATTTTTGCAATGATCATTATAATCTTGTAATCTATTAACTGTAATTTTAAAATATATTTTAAATATTTTGTTATTTTTTCAGAGGCATTTTGTTAGCACCCCCATGCGAATAAATATTTTAAATTTGTTTGTTTAATCCTAAAAACGGTTGAGATCCATTTTGATTAGAATTATTTGAATTTAATTTTCCATAATTCATTTCTCAAATGTTTCATAGGTAATTCATAAATCATATAACACCCTCTAAAATTTTTATTTTTTTTTCCGGTTTTTAACATATCGAAATGAGTCAACAACATTATTAATTTTTTTTTCATTATTTGAGTACCATAAAGTTTTCTTTTAATACTAAAACTAGTATTACTAAAACTTTAGTATTATTAAGAATTTTTTCTGTTGCCCCATTATATTATTCAGTTTCTTTTTCCAATGGTTTTTTTTTTTATATTTTCTTTCTATAACGGTATTTTTAATAGTCCTACATCTAATTTATTTATTGGTTCCTTTATTTTTGTAAATGATCCAAGATAATTATAAACAGGCTAATGAATCTCCAGTAATTCCATATATGAGCAATATTTAATAAATAAAAATGATATTAGAGGATAAGAGAGGATACATTTTATCCCCTTTACTTGATTTAATTTACTTATATTCTTATCATTATTTTTATATAATGAATCTGTTTGAAGTAGGTGATACTTTTGCAAGTACAATATTAAACACCTCTGGACATTTGGTTCAATTACTTGGAGATACATAATAATCCCCATATTCCTTGTGTATTTATGTAATACGTTTTATTGTTTAAAATGTTGTCATTATTATTTACCTATGTAAATCTCATGTTGTCCAATATTATGATTATCTGTTACATAACTATACCATATTCCAATAATAATTCCAGTTGTTTTTAGTAATATTTTGTTTCAAATCTTCTAGACATATTGAATAATATATTGTTTGAGTTTAAATTTCTGTCGATTACTATACTTTATTTCATATTAGGTTGAAAAATGTACGACGTAAACGCGTCGTTGTTTGCGCAGGTGTTGCCGGCGACAAGTGCTGTTATCCACCAACCGGCCAAAACAACGGATGTACAGAGTGAGCTGTATTCTCGCAACACTCCGCACTCCGCGTACTGTACGTACCTAGTCAACCGTGATACGTGAAACTGGGAAAATCGGTACAACATTACACAAATATTTAAGAGATAGCTCTATTGCAGACGGTTGCTATGCCAAGATTGAGCGGTTGACAATGCTCCGCGGTGGTCAGATTGGTAGTGGGGAAACCAAAGAACATGGTGGTGTTGACGGAATACGTCTAGCGCTTCATGCGGCGACGCAACGACTTAGGAGACGTTATTTTTGAGTTTGGCCTCGTAATTTTAGAAAATAAAGCATGGGGTAGAGTTAATGATTCAGAAGCATAAAAAGGCAGGTGTAATAATCCAGTTAACAAACTAACAAATATAGGAACTGGAAAACAAAACTTTAACTTAACCAAAACACATATAAATTATTTATACACGAACAAAAAATATAAAATCGTTTAATCTTTAAAAGTTATATTTATACATGTTCAATTTATTACGTATATTTGAGCCTTGTGTACAATGAGATCTGAAAGTTGTATAACTAAACGAAACAATATTTGTATTAGTTTTATCTATTATATTATAAGTATAGTTCATTGTGGTCAACAGATGCATATGCTTATATAATAACAAAAACACATTTTTATAAAATAATTAATCAAAATGTTGCAAGTTAAATTCATAACAAAATATGTTTAGTACTATAAAACTTAGATTTGCTTAATAAAAGTTTTCTTATACCATTATTTGCTATTTCTAAGTATATAAGGTAAGCACAACCCCAAAACTTTATCTATATAATTTAAAAACAAAATCAGACTTAATACTGTTCCCTGCGGTACATCATGAGTAATATTTGTAATAAAACCTTAAACTCAAATTGGAACGTAACCCTTATTTAATATTAAGTTTTCACTAAAACAAAATTATTAAGTGATTTTTGTAGTAAACATATTAATTTTTTATGGACATTAAAAGTTCCTTAATGTTTATAAAATTAAAAAAAAAACAGTTTTAATTAAATGACAAAGAAGGCACATTCTATAAAATGTAATATTTAAAATTTACGTAGAAGCCATGCCCGTATTCGGTGATAATATCGCTCAATGAATGTGGCTGTATCGTTAAATCGTTCACGTTTCCTGCGAAGATTTAGAGTGAACTTGTAGTACGTATGAATTGGACGGGATTTAGATATTAGGATTTCAGATGGGGGATATTCTTTGGTAGTAATAAGACACATATTCTCGATGGAAATATTGGATGGAGGTTCGTTCATGATACTAATTTTGGCATTTAAAGGCACACTTTTTGGGATTTTACTCATATTTTTACTCATATTAGTAATGGGAACAATATCGACAGAAAAATATTCATGTTCACGGGTTTGATTTGTTAGATTATTTTCTGCAGTATCCTGAAGAGGTTGCCGGATACAGGAGGTACTTGGAGTAGATTGCAAATGAGTTTGAATAACTTTTAAACGACTTTGAGAGGATTTTCGTATTGGGATTTTTGATAGGAGATATGTTTTGCTAGTACTAGGACCGATGTTCTTGATGGAGACATTGAATGGAGGTTCGTTCATAGTTCTAATTTTGGCATTGACGGTTACATGTTGAGGGGTTTTACCATTATTGTTATCTTGGGTAGTAATTGGAAGAGTTTTTAAGGCAAGGAAAGATGTCACCAGCCTGTTTTCTTTAGTATCCTGAAGATCTTGCAGAACGGGTGAGGTATTTAAAATGGGTTGCTGATTGATTGCGATTGACCGTTGAGAGAGGGAGCGGTAATCGGCGCTATCTAAAGTTGACAAAATGTGTTGTTTAACAAAATGATTCTGATTATTGTATTCATGATAATCGGAACTAGTTTGCTGATTGGCAGATGTATTGAGAGGAGGTTTGTTGTAGGGAACGATATCAGCAGGAAAGTTAACCTCGTGAATAATTTTATCCGGGAGATTATTTATTGTGGTATCGATGCTAGAATCTAAATTGGTGGATGTATTTAGAAGAGGCTGGTTGTAGCTAACCATGTAGGTGGTTCTTTCTTAGATTGGTGGTTCGTTCTAGATCGTTGGTAGTGTGGGTAGGATAGCAGATAATAGAAAGTTTTACTTGTAGCTCTTCGTCGATATGATACAAAAACGTAACCTTTGACCTTTCATTCAATATTTCAAGATTTTCTTGAACAAATTGTAATCCAGAATCGTCTGCTTTTTCAATGTTCAACAATAATTTCTTATCATTTACTATGCTTGATTGCAGTTCACAAAGCGGTTTGGAACTTGCAAATATTTATCTTGTATATATTATGCTTTATAATGTACAAAAAAAAATGTTTAATTTCTTGTTGCAAATATTATTGAGATCGATTCAATTGTTCATGTCGGCGACGCCACGGGAAATCTGAAAACTGTCATAAGGTCATTGAAGAACGAATAATTGATAAAAAAAATTTGAATTCGACAAACCGACAGTATTTTATGAGAATATCATTAGAGTTTTTTCCGCCGCGTATAGATTATACTAGATGACCGTTCTCTGTGTATCAGCGGTTCCCAAACTTTTTCAACGCGTCGGATTTCAAAAAGTTTTTACACTTCGGCGACCGACTATCATCAAATACTGTGTAATAACGTTTAGTTTTTGAAATCCGAGCGAAGCGATGATTGTATCCGTTTTATTATGACGTGTCTGTGTGTGTGCGTGTTTATTTTTTGTATCTACAAACAGTTTTTGCTTCGAAAACTTCATAGGGCCTTTCTTGTAGGATTTTTTTATCTGTTTTTGATACATTAAAGAAGTCATTATTTTCTTATTATTCCGTGTAGTTAAACTTAACGAATGGAGAAAACAGGCATTATTATTGTTTGTGTAATTTTTGAGTTAATCATACAAGTATTATATTATAGAGAAATTATTTGTCTCACTCGCTGCTCTTACTCCCTTTTTATTCCCCCATCAGATTATACTATACTATACTATACTACTAACTATATATTATATATGTATTATAAATACAAATCAAATATAATTTTTTTTTCTTTTTCATCTTTTCGCTACCCTCGTACGTTGTTCAGTTTTCTTCTCCGTCGCGTTCGCAGTCGGTTTCCGTATCGATTTCCACTGTACGTTTACTTTGTATACATATCTATATATATAAAACTTAAAAAACTCTTGAAAAAGAAAATTTTTTTTGTTGGTTGGTTTTCAAAATATATCGACGAGAAAATGTATATTATGTTATGTATAATTGGCACCATCTTGATTTTCGTCGATAACACACGGGTTGCAATTTGCATACTATTGGGACAATGTTATTATGATTGTTTAAAGATCAAGTGATATTCGGAATACATAATTTGTAAGGCTCGGTGCAGCCACTCCGTTCCTCCCCCCTAGGTCCGGTACTGTTAATTATGTACATTTTTAAATCAATTGATAGTTAAAATAATGTACAGATTCTTATAGTTATTATGTCTATTTAGGAAGCACAAATAATTCAACTATTTAAAATATTTATAAACCAGTACCATGTTAAAATCAAATTTGAAAAAGTAAAATTAAAAAATGATATTGTAAGCTACCTACAATGTATTTTCACATAGCAAGCAGATTTCTCTTCGTAAATTACATCGTTAACCAATTTTCAATCGACAATCTCGGGAATGTTTTCAATTTTCTATTATTATTATTATTACTATGCACGTGAACCTGTAATAATATAAATCACCTCATAAATCCATTAATGCGTTTTGAAAAATGTATGAATAAGAAAACAAATTATGAATCTTATACAGTACACGCGTATGATAATAATCTTTATTATTACGACGGTATAGTGATGGTATTTCATATGCCGAACAATAATTCTCATTCGAATGTAAATTATTTTTACACGAATAGTTTTCGCTTTCGTTTCCACAATAATTTCTATAACAATCAAATAATTATCAATTTATTAGATTCCGTTCATACACTTTAACAATATCATATTATTTGATCTAATGAATTAATGAGTTTTTGATTTATCGAGGAAATAGTAAATGCGATACTGTTAACAGTTTATAATTATTGCCAAACGAAACGTATGGAAACCTGACTAATTTGTCAATTATGTGGCGATTTAATGAAATATTTATTACTTAATCTAGTTAAATAAAAATAAACTAAAAAGTCGTTCGGTAAAAGTTTTTATGGTCATGCATTTAATTTGCTAAGTTTAAGTTAAAAAGTGCAACACGATATTAACTTAATTTAGTTTAAAAAAAAGAAATTGTTTTATGGCTAAATAACCATAATCCACCCTAAAATTAACTAAAGTCGATTATTCGTTTTTAATCGGTTTCATGAATGTAGTTTTAATTTAGAAGAAAATAAACGGTAAAAAATCGAGTTTAATTAATGAAAACTAAATTTGGCTAAGTTATTTAGTTCTAACGATAAAAATAATTACCTATCTAGTTAATTTAAAAAAAAAAATGTATCCATCTAATAACTTATGTCCGATATTTTTACTCTTCACTTGTGTCTGTCGCATCTCGGTTGAATTATTGTTGTAAAATTGAAAACTTTGGCAAGAGGTCAGTGTTGTACACGAATGTGCTGTCTCCGTCATACAATCGCGTGACAGCAAAATATATTCGTATAGCAGAGACAACTCTGTGCTGCGAATTTTTAGCTGTATACATTTTCAAACCGTGATGGATATTTCACACACTTACATTTCGCTTAAAAAATTAAAATTACGAAAAAAATAAACAAAAAATAATTACGATATAATTTAGCTAATCTAGATAATCTTAATTTTTATCTTATCATTAAGTTTGATAATGGGTCATTAAAATTATAATAGCACAGACTACAGAGTTGTCTCTGCTGAACGAAAATTGTCTATGTTGCGCGGTTGTATGATGGAGACGGCGCATGCGGGAACAGCGTCCTATTAAATTTAATTTCATATGTGCAATCGATTTCAAAACTCCCGTAGACGAATTTACTTTAACCTTTACTTTATTATTCCTAAATTGTATGCGTGTAAGTATTGACTATTTTTGATTTTTTAAAAACACAGTTTCATACGATTTAAATATACTATCTCTCGTCCTTTAGAGAAGATGGTGTTTTTTTTTTTTTTATCTAACTCGGCTTGAGCTGCTATTATACTAAGTAGGTATTATATATTTTTATTCATTAGTGGGCTTACGGGATTTGAGTAAAATTTATCAAATATTTTCAAAACCATTTTGCACATTATCTATGTTATTATTAATTGCATACGCGGAAAACATAACGCCATACGAGTCAAATATTATGTACAGCTTTCTATATCGGCAGTAGGTGTACACATACTCAGTAAGTATGTGCGTGTGTGTGTGTGTGTGTGTATTATTTTTTTGTAGAGGGATTAATATTGTTTGAGTCACCGGTCGACTATGTCCCCAATATCCATTTCGGATGACATGCAAATCAATGTAGGTATATACATAGTGTGCGCACTCTATTTTAAACGTGTATACAGATCGATGGCAACAAAAATTCACAACAGGACCACACCTCGGGATCGGCCCGTGACAAATACGTCGTGTATATTTTAGTCGGTATACCTACACGGTACACTGTGTATTTTATGGCTGTTCTTTTATGGTTTCTCCCCTCACCACGTTCCCATTATAATATTAATGTTGAGTACCTATAGTAAGGTAGTACTATCGCATATATCCACATGCGTTATTCATTAATTTGGGTAGCTATAGAGTGATTTATTTTAATTACTGAAAGCAATCAGAAAAAAAAAAAAGATTCTTAGAGGAACCCGATAAACAAGTAATGTTTGAAACCGACAGCGTTGGAGGATCACTGTTAACATTACTCTGCTGCCATCGTTTATTTTAACCATACAAATTTAAGATAAATACGAAAGTAGTCAATGCAAACATGTACAGTTTACAAATACACACGTTATGAGGATGTGCAGGCAAGTTCTCTCTACTACACCCCCTTAAAGTATAAAGTAATGTTATCTAACATTGTTATCTATTAATCTATCGGCAATATTATTATTGTCGTCTTATTTTTCCCTTGTAACAAATGTAATCCAGAACACAAAAATATAACCTATAGGTGCGTCCAATAAACCTATGTTATTAATTTCTTCATATTTATGAGTATTATTATAATTATACGATAAACGTTACGGTGAAAACATGTAGTGTTTTCATATAGGGGGGCTCGAGAAGCTGAACTCTCCAAATATTTTACTAGCCCATCAAACGTTATTTTTGTTCTACATAATGGTGTTATATTTTTTTCGTATTTCGATTATTTGAGGACTTTAGCTCCCTGTATCCTGAAATTTGAATGAATTTCCATCTACAAGTATGAATAAATAATTTTTATCGCCGAATTACAATTCAGCGAATGAAACCAATACCCTATATTATTATATCGGACGCTGTGACCGAAATGATTCAGTTTTTTTTTATACATAGTTGGTAAATATCTCTTCGATTGAAACGAGTATTGGTGGATAAAGAGCAAGAGTGTCACGTTTGGTGGAAACGGGGAAGTTTCACTTCGGTGGAAACTGTTAAAGTACTAACGGACGGAAATTTCGCATCTTTCAAGGTAGGTGCCTGTACTTTATATGGGAACAAAACAATCGTACACAATTTAGTTCTGTATATTTTTTGCGCACAGAGTGCCAGAAAATAATAATTGTTTTTATTATCCGTTTCGCCATTTCTATATTACTTTATAACATTATACTACGGTAATACTATCTACATAGCGTGTATGCGTGTAAGCACGAGAAACCGAGTGCATTGTGATATAAACGCATATACGATCAGTAGTGTTTGTTTTACGGTATAGTAAAAACGTAACAATTATTATTTTATTCTACCATCGTTTTTTTTTTTTTTTTTTTTTAGGACACTCTTAACACGAACGACTCGCGCAATATATTCTAGCGGATTAAATTTCACAGGCAACGGCGTTGACTTAATGCTCGATACAATACGAGTATAATACC